AAAAAGGAAACTTGTACCCAATATCCTTCCAGGCCCACCTTATATCTTTGAACTAATTAGAAGGAAAACATTAACGCTTGAACAAAAGTTGATTAATCGTAATTTAATAATTATTTCCAAGTATTTTTTTTATTTTTCCCCTGCCTTATAATAATATTCAAACTGTAATGGAAAATAATATTATATATCTTCTTGTTGCCTAATTCAGGTAAAAACTGCATTAAGGGGAGATCTTAGAGACGTGGAGCTCAAGACAGAACACTTATTAATGGGGTCGAAAATGAAAAGCCAGACAAGAGCCACTTTACATTGAGCAAATTCAAGGACATGGTGAGTAAGTTTCCTGAAAATGATCAAGTTATGTTGTGGCGTGATTTCGGTTGGGATATATCAACTGTTGAATATCAACAACCAAAAACAGAAACTGCTGGAGATATGGCTGCTCATAGGATCCGAAGACTTTCTCGTTTTACCACCGAGTATTTCGATAACTTCATTGCTTGGCTCAATGAATTTCTATTACTCAGAAAGGCTTGAAGGAAAATTTCGTGATTTGCTAGATCAAGATGTTGTCCCCGTTGGAGTTTAACATGTTGCCTCGGAAATTGACCCGTGATCTAGTCCAACTTCTTCGGAATCATGGAGATATTAGCAGCAATTCACAATCAGCACCGGAAATGGAGAGCATCAACTTTTGCTTCTTGTGCCATGTCATGCGTAGCATGTCCAGAACTAAGCTTATTGAGGACACTAAAGACCATCTCAAAGAATGGCTTTTCTTCCTTAACTATGCTCAAAGGAGCGGCTTCAATGTCGAGTTTATGTTTGATCATCTTAAAGATCTGGCATACGCTTTTGTCGGTCTCCAAACAACTGCAGAAAGAAATGCAATTGGAATTGAGAGAATTCAATCCGAGGATCTCCTGCAGCTACAAAATGAACTTGATTCTCTAATTTTGGCTAAAATCTATAATTGCTTCAGCGCTTTGGGGGAGTTTATGATGAAGTGCTTGAGTATGGCTTTAAGGGACGAGGATCACGTGGGAATACAGGGTTTGTATGTCCGAAGGGGGTGACTAGTTGCAAATAGTTGTTAGCACAACTGTTGTAATATTAATATATATAAGAATAAAGTTCTGTGGTTTGCTGTGAGAAAATAGTTTAAAAAAAACTAAAAAATAAAAATAAAATGGAACATTCCATGTATGGTTGTATCTTGTTTTTTTTTTTCTTTAATTAATTAATAAAATACATTGTCTTTCACAATTTTTTGTTCTTGTTTCGTGATTATAACAAGTCGATATGTGGTCACGGTGATCATGTCGCAAGGAAGGGATATTCTTCACTTCAATCTTTCACGGTAACAGACATCAACAACATAGTAAAAAGATTAATGACACTGGAAGCTGAACTAGAAGGTCTTATTAAATATGGAATTCATGGAAAGGTAATATCTAAATACTACATAAACAATACTTATATGGATTCTCATATCCTTTGTACCAAGAATACAGAGATATCAAATAATTTGCTTCCGATGAGGTTGCAGAGCAATGCGCTGTATTGATAAGCGTGCCTTGGGATTCTACGAGCCTGCATAGGTGCTCCGGAAATAATAGTCTCTTCATGAACGCAGCTATTAGAAGTAAGTTGCAACAGGTTTTTGATATAGAAGCTTGCAATCTTTCGAAGACATGTTGAAAACATGAGAAACTTTTCCTTTCTGAGGATTCCCTTGAATAATCGACAGAGTTTGTTCGTCCACGTCTATTACAGCTGTGCATAGTGTGTATAGTGTCGGACCTGGAAAGAAGGCAAAGAAGGTAACCAAGAGCAATCGAAAAGAAATCATAAGGGTTCGTCATTTATGTCTTGCTCTTAGAGTACCTGACATGTAGATGGGGTATTTTGAATCTTCCGAATCTCCAAGAATTGCCAAGAATTCTTCTTTTGTAGTTTTTGGTAGCACAACTGCTTTTCTTTGCCTGCTTATTGAGTTCTCATCTTGTACCTTAATAGAAAATCATGTTTCTGAACTTATTATTAACAAATAAGACTCATGTCTTTCATATCATAATTCTTATATAAAGTTATTCTATGACAATGAATTTGTTATTTGCACCAGCATTCCAAGCAATGAGTTTGACGTAACATTTCTGTTATGGTAAATCTATTATGAAATATTTAACTTGCCTGATTAACTTGAAGATGGAGATACATGTTCGCATGGAAGTATGGTGTTGCCCCAACTTCATAAACTGAAACCCGGTTACCGGATGCTGTTTCAACATTGACAATTCTCCGCGTCCTTGTCTCAATCAGATTGTAACTATGTCCCACAGAAACTTCTGAAGAACGAATTTTCTGAATAAGTTACAAATCATATAATCAGAGTCGTCAAAACACTCCATGAAGTAAGTCCAACAGCACATGATCTTACACACAACGCATCCTCGATGCTCGTCGCTTCAAGTAGGTCTCGTGAAATGAAGTTCCTCCCAATAGCTCCAGCTACTATCTCGTCCTCAGATGGCGGTACGGAATTTAGTGTAAATGCCTGTAGAACTCAGAGAGATCAGAAGTGAAAAAAACGATAGGATCAAGCATTCTGCATTTTAACTTTTGCCCCTATCATCTAAGCATTTACTAAGAAAAATGCCGAGGATCTCAACTGTTTAATACCAACTGACATGGCATATGACTCATTCCTTAACGTTTAAAAATTATCAAATCAATTAATATTACATTGTTGCATCTATAAGTGAAACTATGACATCTCACCGTCACGTGAGTTAGTATCAAGAAGTTAAGAGTCGTTATCTATCGCTGCTCTTTTTGTGGCTTTGTTAATACCAAACTAATATTGTACTTGCTGAAAGGACCACATAATTGTACATGAAGTAATATGATCCGATTATAAATTTGTCATGAAAGCAGGCCAATACTAATCCATATATATGCAATGTTACACAATACTGAATAGAATTGGCATTGGGTATCAAAGTAAGGCAGTACTTCTTACTAGTCCATGACTGTTGAACCCAAATGCACAGCTTGGGAGCTCTCCTGCATATGTGTAAGCAATATATGATACCCCATTTGACAGAACTCCCTTAATCAAATATCTGAAAAAAAGAAAAAAAAAAAAAAAAAAAAAAAAAAAAAATTA